AAGTTGCCTGTTTAGAAGTGTGAGTTGTGAATCCATCGCTGTCAGAGGAACCAGCAGAGTGGATTCTGCTTTTGTCAACTATAGTGTAGAGCATCTGTGATATCTAGCAAAAACAATCTTCAAACACCTGTCATCCATCTGTGGCAGTTGTTTTTTTAAATTCAGCTCAGATTTGATCAGAATGTGTGACAACCGTTGTGACAGAACACTCCAGACCTGAAACAGTGGCACAGCGTAAAGGAGAACCACCGCTTTTTAAAATGTGTTGTTCAGGTGCCCGTGGGCATTTCAGCTTGATCAGACAATTCACTTTTGTCCTCCATAGCTGGGAAAGAGAGAGAAGAGTTATTCCTAGCCTCTAGTATGTGAAGCCATGTACAACTGCCTCGCAAATGAAGTGGAAAAGTTGGAGGGTGAATGTAGAGCAAACTGCACCATAAACAGAGAATATGTTCATGGTTCAGAAATGATGATTCTACCAAAAGTAAACCTCAAGACACAAGCCCTGGTTCTGCTTGAGGACAACATGTGTCAGTTCAGTTAGGTTTCCATGCCATGATGCAAACAGAACATGACATACAGCCATTTTAAGTACAACCATATGTGGGTTGATTTAAGAATGACTTGTTGTACTTGTTAAATTCAGTGGCATTATCGCTCATGTTCTTATCAAAATTTGAAATTTGAAAACAAGTTTGTTTGTGTTGCTCAGGGTGATGATAGAAAATGGCTTCCTGTGTCAAACAGCACGGCTGAAGACTTGTCAAGTTAGCACTGTTAGCACAAGTGTGGACTTCACTTGTCTTGTAAATGCTCAAAAGTTTGCTCCACCTCAGCACACACTGTGCACCACCCTTCCACGCCGAGCTACGGTACTTGGCATAGTAACACAAACGACGTACACAATGACACTGTGGCCCAGCACTGCTGAGTCAATGCAACCACATGAAAAAGAATCTGAGAGGAAAGAGAAACTGGGTGTTCATCTCTATTTTTGCTCAAATTATGATGTATCTAATAAGAGACGCTGACTGGAAATAGCACATCTCAGGGAAATTTCCTGTGTGTCACAAATGTTTTTACACTGGCTTGGGGAAATCAAACAATTAAGTAGCCATAGTAACATGTGTCTGCTGATGTGCACATTGTATTTTATCGTTGAAACATTTTTTTAAACGCACGTTGGCCAACATCACTAATACAACCTGAATCTTCTCTTCATGCTTCAATCCAAAAGGGCTGCCACTAACGGTTATTTATAGTATATAAGTAGGTAGGGTAGTTTATAGGCCCAAAGTGATGTCTTCAAATGATGGTCGTAAATCCTTATCTAATCTATCATAGAGGACTATTAAATACTCCCATTTGAGAAATCTGAAACAGTGAATGTTTGGCACTTTTACCTAAAAAACAAAACAATTAAATGATAATTGATAAATGACGTTTATGAAAATTGTTGATTTTTTTCTGTCAATCGACTGATAAATTAAACTAAAATGGACTAATGGTTCCAGCTCTATAATCCAATATGGCTGCTGCTATTGCAGGTTTTTTGAGGTAGTTAATGTGTAAATTATACTTTTTTTATCTGACACCATGCTATATCATATCATATATCATCCAGCATCTTGAACACCTCTGATCTCATTTTAACAACAATTCTAACCAGGGGAAGTACTCTATCTCACCAACATGCAGTGTTTAAAATTACACTATCTCAACCACAAAGGAACAGCAACTGAATAACAAAATAAAGTGACATATTCCAATCGAACTCACAATAGTACACTAGATAGCGCTCATATTTCTTTCCTGAGTGCCAAACCCAGGGTGTTGGCATAGGAAGGCAGACAATGGAAGCACAACAATAATACACACTGGGCTTCCTGTACGGTATTCAACAGTAGCTTAATTGGGAGAAGTGGTTATGTAAGATAACTGGACTGAAAACACAAGAGTATTTAAAATGACATCTAGAATGCCTGTGTTCAGCTCACAACTACAGGACATTCTTCATACTATATGGTTTTGCAGCTATAGCAAGTGTTATTCTCCCTTTTTATGTAGGGGGAGCTTGGCAGAACCTGGTGTTAAATGAGGGTTTTATTGAAGGCAATGAAATGAGCAAAAAAGCAGAGAAAAGAGGAAAAATAGTCTAGAGATATAGTGGACGAAAACTTGTAAGCTTGTACAAAAAATGAGGCTTCACAGGTAAGTGTGTATTTAATTCTCCCACCCCATGCAGGACACCATCACTACACTGAGCAGCTCCTTCAGCAACAGACACCTTCACCCCAAATGTGTGAAGGACAGATATCGTAGGTCCTTCCTTCCTGCTGCTGTCAGACTGTTTAACAACCAGCACATTTCCCCATTGTGGGACAAATAAAGGAATATCTATCTATCTATCTATCTATCTATCTATCTATCTATCTATCTAATTATTCCTATATTCATAACACTGGGACAGATACTGTAGTGCCAGCCACAGAGTTAAGCTCATTACCGTCAGCACTGTTTTCTTCAACTTAATCTCAACCAAGCGCCCACCTCGCCACCAACAATCAGGCCACATTACTGGAAGAAAACTCACATTTCTCATCGTCGATATTAAGGTGGGTGTGTGAACATCAAACCTCCAACACCTCAAGAAAGAGAAACATGTGCACCGTGCTAAATCACACAGATCCAAACTATTCAAATATCTCATTTTGAGCATTATGTCCAAAAACCAATCCAACCAATATAACTATGCCATCTACTGACCAATTGAAGTGACCCCCTCTGAGGTGCTACAGTCAGTGTATCATTTCCAGTTGCCAGTGCTTCTTTGTTGCTGTTAGTGTATGTTTGCTGCTCTAGCTCAACCCAGTTAAAATCTGTTATATTCCTCATGTAATTACCCGCTATACATTTAAATGTACACTAGTTCTGCTCAAGCATTCATAGCTCTCCTTTTAACGACTTTACTAATCCTACAGTTGTGTACACGTTTATCTCGCCCCCATTAGCTGATATAGTTCCTTCTATGATTTGAATAATTTCCAAATGGGGCTTTTTAGATTGTTCAGAGTGCAAATAGTGCTCTCCAAGTTGGGTACTCTCTGCTATCATTACCACAACATTTCATTTTCAATCGATGTGACTCCTGTCCGTCAGATTTAGAATATTTCTTGACAGCCGTAATGAACACGTTATGAAAACACATTTCAAAAACTATTGGCGTTTCGCACCATGACATTCTCACTCAGTGTGAGGCGTGACACCACATTTTGATATTTTCCCCGGGCCTACGAAAGGTGTGACAGCCTGCAGGTTGTCTACAACATCAGTGGTAAATGGGGGGTGTTGTTGTCAGGTCTCAAAAATTCAAAGTCCCTCTTAAGAGTCATCCTGGGGCTCTGAATGTCTGTTTTGACAGAAAGTGATCTGGGTGGCAAGCATGAAAAATGTAATATCTCATGAAACACTGGCAAGAACGTTTGAAATGTATTTAAAAATACAAAAACCTTTTTTTTTTTTAATATTTGATTGCATATTTGAATAAAAGTAATAAAAAATACATACTGTGACAGATTAGATCTAGTTCAGGACTACTGGCTGGTTCCCTCTCTCCTGTTTCACTTCACTGTACTCCAGACCAGGAGTGAGAAATGAAAAGGAATAGAAATGACCAAGATAATACAGAACTAAACAAATAATTAGGTGTCAGTTTTCAAAACGTCTCTGACTAGATATACAGTAATTAAGGACGCCCTGTGCCTTGTTGACATCCTGTGAATTAGTCCTCTCTAGTGTGGCTCCAACATGCTTTGTATGTGGTCTGCTGGTGGGGCTGTAAAGCAGACAAGTCTAAACAGATCAGGCAGTATATAGGGTACATACACTGCTGCTGGTGGAGGGGGGGTCAGTGGGAGTGCAAAAGTGTGCTGCTTGTAGGTTTGACTACATGTGGTTTGTGTGTTTGCCACTGACAGCCCTGCATATATTCTATGTGTGGTGGTCTATAAAAGGTGATTTATACCAGAGGTTTTGAACTGTTCCATCATGGGGCGCGTGCTTCATTCAAGACAAATATGGGTGTAATGATGCTTTTTAATGTTTTACCATTTCTTAATCATCATCTTTTGTGACAACTGCAGATGAGTGTCTCACCAAAGCTGTGAAACTTCACCCAAAGAAAGCACGCTATGCAGAGTTGATCTCACTACTTATCCATTTCAACAAAAACCCACATTGAGGAGCTCCTGTTGCACTGAAATATCACCAAAAACTCGGCCCTGGCTTCTCCTCTCTGCACCATTCCCTCCCTCTCTTTTTAGTAAACCCGTGAAAAACACCTCTTTTTTGATCAAGTGCTCTTCCACCCTCTTAGCTGTGCCCAAATGCCATTTTGCTTCGGCAAGTCTGGTGAGCACAAAACAATCATCTCTACCTCTTTCTTCTCTGACTGAGCTCCGACTCCTCTCCCTGAGAGTCTGCAGTCCCCTGGGGGCCGATCTGTCTTTCAATGTCCAGAACAGGCTCAGCCCAGGAAACAAAGGGAGAGGAGAGGAGAGGTAAGAAGAGTAGAGGAGGGTTAAAGCCGAGGAATGCAGGGGGTCTCTCGGAGGGGGGCTTCCAAAACATCAAACTGTTCACAGTGAGCTTATTCATACTCGATTTCATTCACATTTCATTCTGCCTGACATCTGTTATACACATGCACACTAACACACAGGTGTGGCAGTGTAGTTAATTGTGTCAAAATTACACTTTTTCGATACATAAATATCATGTGCCATTTTTCACTGCATTTTTCACCATTCGTGAAAAAGTCAATTAAACACCCAACAAGTGTAGTGAACGCATGCTGCAGACAGTTTAGTTTTACTTTCTCTATGGCCACTTCACTGTCTGTCTAACTTCAGGCAGTAATGCTTCAATACAAACCGTTATCTAACCAATATTTCGGTTAGCGTCGTTATTTTTTGTATCACAGAGTATGAGTGGGGTCTTACCTGGCTTGGTGATGCTCTGGAAGTAAAGCACGAGAACGAAGAGCGAGCCGAGGCACATAGCCAGAAAGAGGCGTCCTTCTCTGGGCATCCTCATCCTGAAGCCCGGCTCTGCTGGCGGAGCCCCCGACCCCTCGACGCTGCCTGGACACGGTTCATACAAGACCACCCGCGGGAGGATGCGAGACTCTCCGAAGAATTAGAAGCCTATTTATTAATTGCGGGTAAAACACCCAACAGCCCATCCAGGAATAACGTTATTATAACGCTACTGATAGACACATTCATTTGAACGTGAGTGGGACATAAATCCAAAACCGCCCGCTCGTTTTTTTTTTTAGATAACTTTAAATCAATAGTGATGACAAATTAAGCAAGGTCACCTTAAATGAAGCATTAAATAACGTTACGTTCATATGACAAGCCCTAAAGCGATATGAAGAGTCATGAACAAACTAGTTTGCTTCTCCTCAACTCTGGTTGTTACTCGGACCAATGGTGTCTAGAGTTTGCCGAAGCTACACAAACTTCTCCTCCGCCAAACATGGACGGTGCACCATGCCATGACGTCACACACACCCTCTCTCGCGCCCACCCTTGTGCTGCCTTCAGGTAGTGCTGGAAGTATTAAACCTACACTCAGAAAGTCGGATTTTCCATGTGATGTATGCTCAGCTGTCAGGTGTTATGCAGAGAGATATAATACAATAAAGATGTGTCGTCACTCTGTGGTAAAAAAAAAAAAAATACAGTTAACATTCAGCCTAAAGGTTGCCGGTTGAACCACCGGCTTACGAGGAGCAGTTTAAGGCAGCATCACACTCGTTCACAGAGATTTCAACATGGACCGAGGTACAGTTTGTACGGTCTCATAAATTACAACATCCGAAAGGAATTAAAAAAACATAAAATGTAAGCCACTTAAGACTTCAAAACTAATAAATACTTTCAATCAGAATCAGCTTTATCTGCCAAGAACGTACACACACTTCCAATAGATATAGAGATAGGAATAACAGACATACAGCTTTAACCAAAGATAAGTAAAAAATAAACATAGAACTACTATAGCCTATTTCTACATACATTAGGAAAAAAATAGGATTATATGGACATAAATTCAAAAAGTGACCATCTATAGACCAATATCTACATAGGCTACAAGACAGATTATTCACCAAAATAGGCAGAAAATAAACATACTGTAATATGGACACCACTTTGATCTTACCTGCTGTGGAACAAAAAACCAAATATCTTTAGTCCACCTTTTATTTTTAGCACCATTTGAAATTGAGGATTGCAAAGGTAGAAGCTGCAGAGAAAAGCAGCGCTTCTGTTGTGTCACTGTTAGAAACTTAATATGGCTGCAGTACTGACCCAGTTCTTGCTTTGTGCACCATCGTGCAATATGAGGTAATAGACCTGCTCACAATCATGAAGTGCAATCCATCAAATTAATTAAATAATTCCAAAAATATATTAGGCTATGTAAAATAACAGTTTACTCCTTAAGTTCTTACAGTATCCTTTTCTTCAGTTTGACACTTCACTGTCTGGACATGCTCAAATTCCACTCTGCCAGACTTTCTAGACGTCAAAGGAGTTCTATAAATTGCTTTTTTCTCCCTGTCTTTTTCATACTAGAATCAAAAGCCCCCTCTGAACAAGAGCACATTTACAGTGCACGCCAGAGACATTATAATGCAGCATTGAATCCAAGCAATGCATCATATATCATAATCAGAGGGGAACGTTTTTGACAAATTGTATCACATTACCAGCGGAGGACGAGGACAAATATATCAAGTTAGAGTACAACTGAAAACACAGTTGATGTCTAAAAGAACCCAACATATAGATTCAATCTGTCAGAGACTTGGATAGAGATTGTCTATGTTGCTTATCCTTAAAAGATCAGCTGTGCAACAGTGTGTGTATGGCCCCACACCATATGCTCACTGCATCATGACATGTCAGTCAGTTTTATTGTCTGTATATAGCACATTTCAAACAGCATGCTTCGCATGAAAAATAACAGAGCCATAAACATTAACATACAGAACTGCACGCAAAGCCTTCACGTCAAGATGGTATGCATGTTTCTTTCTATATTTTGTTCTTAAATGCAGTTGTCTACAAAATATTAAAAGGAGCAGTTCTTGATCATACTGATTACATTGTTTGAGTTGACTGCTGTCACTTTCAGACCCTGTTTACACTTTTAAAAAGTGTAAAGTGTAAAAAAATGTGTCTTGTGATCAGATCACAAGTAAACAGCGCTAATTACAAGTGTAACCACCAAGACCCATTGTGATACGATCACTCAAACCATTTCCCAAGGTGGTCTATTACATGTCTTTTGCAGAGTAACGCTAATGCGTCCACTAATGCAAAGATGGAAATGGGAAATGGTCAGCTTGTGGACACTCTCGAAGATTGATTTTCATCAAAAGCTTCTTTGTAGAGCTTAGTTAGTGACAGAATGAATAAAAATACCCTTAAAAGATCAAGATTAGCACAGCAATGACTGTATGCTGGATTTTCCCCTCAAAATATAGTCTACATGGCAAGACATGGCAGAAACTGAACCACTGAGGAAGTGCCAGGTCAGCGTGTGAGCAACCTAACCATTCATGCTGCTATATCAAAGAATGCTGTAATTATCCACATGCCCATCATTACACCTCCAACACGCAATGCCTCCTGGGATTCTTGGAGACACTTAACAGAGATCTCAGACTTGAGAATGAGAGAGGCTTGGTTAAGGATGACTTGGTAAATTATGTGGTTGTGTGGGCCAATGTTAGCTTTTACCACACAACTCTCACCAGCACATGGTTTACTGACCACCCACGGGGTCTTGGTCTAGTCTCCACTTGTCACTGACAAGTTGTTGCCTGAGAAGTATCATCTCCAGTCCACTGACTATACTGTCAATGGCTGCTGCTTGTGAACAGATGTTTGTGATTTATACTTACATTCAATTATTTGGCAAATAGGATGCGACCATTGACAGAATATATAATGGACAGAGTTTCCGGGTCTGTGAAGTGAAGCAAACGCCCAAGTGTCTTAAACCTGCATTCTGTGTAATGCGCGGGGAGCTCAGCAAAAAAAAAAAGGCCATGGAGAACTGACCATACTTTTAACTTATTTAAAACTAGACATTTCCTTATGGTCCCAATTCCTAGTTTCAAATCCCTTCAAAAAAAGTAAAATAGCAGAAGTGAGTGTGTGGCTATCTTGTGATTGACAGGTCATTCTCAGTGAGTCTGTCCAGCTCAACGCACCAAACTCTGATCAAACTGTGCAGCGCTGATCAATTACGAATCAAGATTCTGTTACTGTGTTGCCTATTTCTTACTTAAAATCGTTTCCGAAACATATTTTAGTGAACTGTTCATCTCTAATATGAGATTGTGTGTGACCAGGTAAGCCACTATTGTTTACTGCTACGGACAAGTCAAAACTGCGCAGCCAATGGGTGCAGCTCAATTCAGTAAGTCAAACAAAAACACAAAGGCATCAAAGCGGTTCTCCACAAACCAATGTATGACGTCATGATAGGTTCCCACTTGGATGTGACACGATATGGTTTTCTGATCATATTGATCCTAATAGCCTTGTTAGCATTTGACCTGTTCTGGCCATTAATATATTAGATAACACTGCTCAGCCTTGCTTCCAATTTTGCCCAGTGGCCACTCGCGATATAACAGCTAATTTTCCCAAAAGGCATTTTCCCCATCGACCAGTATTATAAAAGAGAAGCCTGTAAAATGGACACCTTGAACTGCAAAATGATGTGTCTTTCTATTATGAATTATTGATCTATGTGGGTTTTATATTTGTAACTTTCCTGGAGCAGAGAAATGTGATGTCATCACCAGTTAAAGTCTATGGGCCGATCAAGAACTTGCGGGCGGGACCATCAGGAGAAACACTTCCATGAATAATCAGTGGGCCCAGGAAGTAAACCTTTGCAGAGATCAGGAAATCCTGAACGCCTGTACAAATGAAAGGAAAAGTTTGATATTCTGGTTCATTTGCTCTCTCTTTGAAACTTAGATGAGAAAATCCATACTACTCTCATGTCATTGCATTAACCAGGGGTCGATTTGTTTAGGTTAGAATAAAAACTGGAAGCGGGAGGAGAGAGCTAGCTTGCCTTTGTCCAAAGGTAAAAAAGTACAACTTGTCGTTGTAACATTTCAGTTTGTGTACAGGGTTTAAAATGACAGCTGTGAAAGAGATCCAGAGTGTGAATCATTTGGGGGAATAATAAAGAAACAAGAGTGCTTTGATTTTGGCAGACAATCAAGATTCAGGTTAACAAGATTTATTTTTGTCTTTCAAAGGAAGGCACGACAGGAGAACGCTGTGAACCGCTGCTGTATTAGTACTGTATTAGTGTCCTCAAAGATGCCTGTAATCTGCAACTGCTCTGCAATGTAGTGTAGCAACCCATAAAACAAAAAAGCTGAAGAACATATAAAAAAACCCAAAAATGGTTGTCCAGTGCATACATAGTTTTCTTGGCTTGCAATTATCTTGTCAACATGCCACTAAAAGAAATGAACACCGATACTAATGATTATGATGATTATGATGATTATTTTTATTGCAGTGTGGACGTGATAAATATGTGTTCTTTAGTGGGGATTTTTTTAACAGAAAGCCCATTCATTTCTTTTCAGTTTTGAATTTTCTTAACCCAGTGTGTATAGGAATTAACCCTCTGTGTATAGGAGTTAATAACTTCCAAATAACAAAGGGTGATCTAAGTTGTCTGACTCTTAAACACTTTTGAGAACACATGACCACACAAAAGGGAAAAAAAGGTTCACCCATAAATTGAACTGGATGTTGATGTAGCTGGTGATTTTGTAATTCAGGAGCGCTGATTGTAGCTAAATGAATCCAAGCTGGAAGGAATCACAGTCTTAAAATGTATTTAACTTGTGACTGATGGAACTTCAGGGAAGTAAACGTTCTCCTTCTAACATGGGCTGTAAGACCTGCAGTTAGCGGTTAGCTTCGTTACCATCCTTTGATCTCATATGGTTTTCTGTTTGTGGTGCTGGGATGGGCTGGGATCACTGGCCTAGTGTGGAGACATCCCCAGTAAAACTGAAAAGACAATAATAGGGCCCTAAAACATGCTGCGCAACACAAAGAGACATTTTCCTGGACATGAGATTGAGTCAGTGTGTAAGTCTTAGAAAAAGATTTAATCATAAGCCTGTGAGGTCAGCCTATAATACACCAACTGTATAATATCAGTCTCTTTCAGACAGAATGAATTGCAGTAGGTCACATTAGTGAGAAAGGCAAACATTTTGTAGCACTGTCTGCTCACCATGCCTCTATGTATGCTGTCATTGGATGTACACTACAACAAAAGCAAATCTAAATCTGGTCTTTGTATAGCCCTTAATCACATCTCTAGTCTGCTCAAATTATGAAAGCACTAACTAAAAAGGACCCTCCCTCAATCAATCATTCAACCCCTTTGACCCAAAGTGAGAACAAGAAATAAAC